TTATAATATTAATTTATATTTGAAAAAAGTTCTGTTTTAAACGAACAGAATTTTAAAATTGGTGAATGCATCTTTGGGGTCGACCGCTGGATGGAATGGCCCTGGTCCGAGGACGGGTTGCAAGTTCAACACCGTCGCACTTGGCCAGTAACTGGACAGGTGAGCGCATGAGTACCTCTCGTCCCTGGCTTAGGCTACCTGGTGTACCAAGACATATGGCTCTAGCTTAGTACCATACACTTGCAGATACACTTAGCAATTTCAAGTCCATATCAACGCAAAGTCTGTTTAAGTCTTCTTGAAGTGTTCTTTAAATCTGAAGTGAAATAGGCTACAGCGAGCGACTTAGTACCAACAGCTAACTTACGGGCTATTGAGATCTATATCTACATTCATTACGGGATCACCATAGCCCGTGCTGCGAATCTTTAACAACAACAACATTTAGATTAGATAATATTGCATACAAGATGAAAACAAATTTTGTATATAACATTTGTGTAACAAATTAATTTTGGGATTAGGTTGCATTTCCTGGGACCGAACCCCAGACAAGTTACTATGACTATGACGATGGGTAAGCCACCAACCAGCAAGTATAGCATACTCTTGATCCCAACCTTCCTTCACGACTGAAGTACACTCTTATTGTAGATAGAAATAGAGGCTTCTCGCTGTACGAGGCTTCAGAGTGCATTATATATAATGAAACCCGGACAGTATTAAAGCACATCTTTTCTCTCACCTTATTTTCCAAACCTTTATGACAAAATATTAAACATTGAAGACAATTTACAGATTATTTACAATGATCATTTACAGCTTATCTGGACTGTAAGTGGCTTAGTCAATGGGTTTTGGGGTTCAGTTCCCTGAGCCTATAAGTTCATCTTGAACTTGTCCACTACAGCCCACGGCATGGTGTGGACGTCAGTACATGGTCCTCCACACACACACACACACACCAGTAACCCTCCACACACACACACACCAGTAACCCTACACACACACACACACCAGTGACCCTCCACACACACACACACACACACACCAGTGACCCCCCCCACACACACACACACCAGTGACCCTCCCACACACACACACACACACACACACACACACACACACACACACACACACACACAGAACAACATAGAGCACATAGAGGTGTCTAGAGACGAAGTGGAAAAAATGCTCAAGGAGCTAAATAAGAACAAAGCAGTTGGTCCAGATGGAGTTTCACCATGGGTTCTGAGAGAATGTGCACCTGAGCTCAGCATTCCTCTTCAACTGATTTTTCAGGCATCCCTGTTTACAGGAGTTGTAGCTGATGTGTGGAAAAAGGCTAACATAGTTCCAATCTACAAAAGTGGAAGCAGGGAAGACCCCTTAATTATAGACCTGCATCATTGACAAGTGTAATAGTCAAAATATTGGAAAAAATAATTAAAACTAAATGGGTAGAACACCTGGAGAGAAATGATATAATATCAGACAGACAGTATGGCTTTCGATCTGGAAGATCCTGTGTATCGAATTTACTCAGTTTCTATGATCGAGCCACAGAGATATTACAGGAAAGAGATGGTTGGGTTGACTGCATCTATCTGGACCTAAAAAAGGCTTTCGACAGAGTTCCACATAAGAGGTTGTTCTGGAAACTGGAAAATATTGGAGGAGTGACAGGTACGCTTCTAACATGGATGAAAAATTTTCTGACTGTTAGAAAAATGAGGTCTGTGATCAGAGGCAATGTATCGGAATGGAGAAATGTCACAAGTGGTCACCACACCACAGGTCACCACAGGGTTCAGTTCTTGCACCAGTGATGTTTATTGTGTACATAAATGATCTACCAGTTGGTATACAGAATTATATGAACATGTTTGCTGATGATGCTAAGATAATAGGAAGGATAAGAAACTTAGATGATTGTCATACCCTTCAAGAAGACCTGGACAAAATAAGTACATGGAGCGCCACTTGGCAAATGGAATTTAATGTTAATAAATGCCATGTTATGGATTGTGGAATAGGAGAACATAGACCCCACACAACCTATATATTATGTGAGAAATCTTTAAAGAAGTCTGATAAAGAAAGAGATCTAGGGGTGGTTCTAGATAGAAAACTATCACCTGAGGACCACATAAAGAATATTGTGCGAGGAGCCTATGCCACGCTTTCTAACTTCAGAATTGCTTTTAAATACATGGATGGCGATATACTAAAGAAATTGTTCACGACTTTTGTTAGGCCAAAGCTAGAATATGCAGCAGTTGTGTGGTGCCCATATCTTAAGAAGCACATCAACAAACTGGAAAAGGTGCAAAGACATGCTACTAAGTGGCTCTCAGAACTGAAGGGCAAGAGCTACGAGGAGAGGTTAGAGGCATTAAATATGCCAAAACCAGAAGACAGAAGAAAAAGAGGTGATATGATCACTACATACAAAATAGTAACAGGAATTGATAAAATCGACAGGGAAGATTTCTTGAGACCTGGAACGTTAAGAAGAAGAGGTCATAGATATAAACTAGCTAAACACAGATGCCGAAGAAATATAAGAAAATTCACTTTCGTAAACAGAGTGGTAGACGGTTGGAACAAGTTAGGTGAGAAGGTGGTGGAGGCCAAGACCTTCAGTAGTTTCAAAGCGTTATATGACAGAGTGCTGGGAAGACGGGACACCACGAGCGTAGCTCTCATCCTGTAACTACACTTAGGTAATTACACTTAGGTAATTACACACATACACACGCCAGTGACCCTCCACACACACACACCAGTAACCCTCCACACACACACACACACACACACCAGTGACCCTCCACACACACACACACACACCAGTAACCCTCCACACACACCAGTAACCCTCCACACACACACACCAGTGACCCTCCACACACACCAGTAACCCTCCACACACACCAGTAACCCTCCACACACACCAGTAACCCTCCACACACACACACACACACACACACACACACCAGTAACCCTCCACACACACACACACACACACACCAGTGACCCTCCACACACACACACACACACCAGTGACCCTCCACACACACACACACACCAGTAACCCTCCACACACACCAGTAACCCTCCACACACACACACACCAGTGACCCTCCACACACACACCAGAGACCCTCCACACACACACACACACACACACACCAGTGACCCTCCACACACACACACCAGTGACCCTCCACACACACCAGTAACCCTCCACACACACACACCAGTGACCCTCCACACACACACACACACACACACACCAGTGACGCTCCACACACACACACACCAGTGACCCTCCACACACACACACACGCCAGTAACCCTCCACACACACCAGTAACCCTCCACACACACACACACACACACGTGACCCTCCACACACACACACACACACCAGTGACCCTCCACACACACACACACCAGTAACCCTCCACACACACACACACACACACACACCAGTGACCCTCCACACACACACACACACACCAGTAACCCTCCACACACACCAGTAACCCTCCACACACACCAGTGACCCTCCACACACACACACACACACACACACTGACACACACACACCAGTGACCCTCCACACACACACACCAGTGACCCTCCACACACACACACCAGTGACCCTCCACACACACACCCCAGTGACCCTCCACACACACACACCAGTGACCCTCCACACACACACACCAGTGACCCTCCACACACACACACACCAGTGACCCTCCACACACACACACCAGTGACCCTCCACACACACACACCAGTGACCCTCCACACACACACCAGTGACCCTCCACACACACACACCAGTGACCCTCCACACACACACACACACACACCAGTGACCCTCCACACACACACACCAGTGACCCTCCACACACACACACACACACCAGTGACCCTCCACACACACACACACACACACACACACACACACACACACACACACACACACACACACACCAGTAACCCTACAGACACACACACACCAGTAACCCTACACACACACACACACACACCAGTGACCCTCCACACACACACACACCAGTAACCCTACACACACACACACACCAGTAACCCTACACACACACACACACACACACACACCAGTGACCCTCCACACACACACACACCAGTAACCCTACACACACACACACACACACACCAGTGACCCTCCACACACACACACACACACACCAGTAACCCTACACACACACACACACACACACCAGTGACCCTCCACACGCACACACACCAGTAACCCTACACACACACACACACACACACCAGTGACCCTCCACACACACACACACCAGTAACCCTCCACACACACACACACACACACCAGTAACCCTCCACACACACACACACCAGTGACCCTCCACACACACACACACCAGTGACCCTCCACACACACACACACCAGTAACCCTCCACACACACACCAGTAACCCTCCACACACACACACACACACACCAGTAACCCTCCACACACACACACACACCAGTGACCCTCCACACACACACACACACACACACCAGTAACCCTCCACACACAGCAGTAACCCTCCACACCTGTTGTTCCAGCATACCAAACTGTTGACAGTTTGAATGAGGCATGAGTGGGAGTGGCGGACAGGTGTGGGTGGATGCCTTAGCGGGTGTCCACACGTGTCAGTGTCGCCGCCACACACCTGTCACACACCAGACACTGCGTGAAGAAGGACGTCCCAAGCCTCAAGGAGCAGCAACCTTTGCTGCTGGAGTCCCAGACCCGCTTCAAGGAGGAGGAGCAGGTGTGGAAGATTACCAGGTGTGTGTGTGTGTACCCGAAGCAGGTGTAGGCATCGTACAGAAATTTAAACGCCCTTGAGGGCGTGCCCTAGGGGGGGTTCCCTGAGGGCGGGCCCTCAAGGGCGTGCCCTAGGGGCGTGCCCCAGGGGCGGCGTCCTCACCTGGGCCTCGAGGACGCCCCTGACAGTGAGGCCGACGCCGGGGTCGAACTGGACAGTGACGCCAGGCCGGATGGTGAGTCTGGCTCCTGGCATGATGGTGATGTCCTCCGTGACCAGGTAAGGCGAGGCCGCCTCGTCGTACACCACGCTGCTGGTGATGGTGCCGCCCGACCACACGGCTCCTGCCCCTCCTACCACAACCACCACAACTACCACAACACTACCACCACCCCACATGACGCTGGTGGGACACAAAGTGTATAGAGAGAGCGGAGCCAGGCGTCAACACCCTCCCTTCATCACGTCTCACTCACTACTGACTCCTTACTATCATCTTCCTCATTCAAATATTGACACAATGGCCCCATAAGTCTCCAGAAAACACCACAACACAAACACCAATCACAACATTATCACACCATACAATGACCTTCACGTATGCTATAAACTGGACTATATACGCTGAAGAAGAAGAGAATAATAATAGAGAAATAAGAAACGCATCAGACAATAGCCAGCAGGTAGATGGTCACGTGACCGTGACGTCATCCAGGTAACTCCGCCCCCCCCCCCGCGGTCACCAATATATCCATATAAACCTTCCTAAACTCACATTCTCTAACTACCTATAGCAACGGCTATACTATAGACGCTATATGCACCAGTCTCGCCACTGAAACTATATATATATATATAAACAGGTTAATTGCTTATACCTGCCAGGTGGTTCACTTTTGTGTACACAAGTCCTATAAAAGAGCACTCCAGCGCCATCTATTGACTCTCTGCCGCACCTTCCATCAATCTCCAGTCACTTTATGACTAAACGGCCTATTTAGGCCTACGCGACGATATATATATATATATATTTCTCAAGAGATACATTCTTAGAATATCTTTTACTCCAGTAATCTCTTTGAGGTCAGAAGCCTCATATATCCTGACAATCTACATAGGCCGTTAAATTTTCAAACCTTATTAGATAACTTAACTATAGGCCCTCTTTAGGCTACGTAGCCTATAGGCCTATATGCACCTAATACCTGACACCAGATTTATAAGAATAGGTTTACAGGTGGCGAGGAAACTCGAGTTATTATATAAATATTTCTTTATTGTTTATTTAAACAGATATCAATCAAAATTGACATTGAGATTTCAAACTATCTTAATGTAGAATGTTTCTCTACCACTCACAGGAGGGGTATGGGGTCCACTACCACACACAGGATGGGTATGGGGTCCACTACCACTCACAGGATGGGTATGGGGCCCACTACCACTCACAGGATGGGTATGGGGACCACTACCACTCACAGGATGGGTATGGGGTCCACTACCACTCACAGGATGGGTATGGGGTTCACTACCACCCACAGCATGGGTATGGGGTCCACTACCACTCACAGGATGGGTATGGGGTCCACTACCACTCACAGGATGGGTATGGGGTCCACTACCACTCACAGGATGGGTATGGGGTCCACTACCACTCACAGGATGGGTATGGGGTCCACTACCACACACAGGATGGGTATGGGGTCCACTACCACTCACAGGATGGGTATGGGGTTCACTACCACTCACAGGATGGGTATGGGGTCCACTACCACTCACAGGATGGGTATGGGGCCCACTACCACTCACAGGATGGGTATGGGGTCCACTACCACTCACAGGATGGGTATGGGGTCCACTACCACTCACAGGATGGGTATGGGGTCCACTACCACTCACAGGATGGGTATGGGGTCCACTACCACTCACAGGATGGGTATGGGGTCCACTACCACTCACAGGATGGGTATGGGGTCCACTACCACTCACAGGATGGGTATGGGGTCCACTACCACTCACAGGATGGGTATGGGGTTCACTACCACTCACAGGATGGGTATGGGGTCCACTACCACTCACAGGATGGGTATGGGGCCCACTACCACTCACAGGATGGGTATGGGGTCCACTACCACTCACAGGATGGGTATGGGGTTCACTACCACTCACAGGATGGGTATGGGGTCCACTACCACTCACAGGATGGGTATGGGGCCCACTACCACTCACAGGATGGGAATGGGGCCCACTACCACTCACAGGAGGGGGTATGGGGCCCACTACCACTCACAGGAGGGGGTATGGGGCCCACTACCACTCACAGGAGGGGGTATGGGGCCCACTACCACTCACAGGAGAGGGTATGGGGTCCACTACCACTCAAAGTTAATGGGTGAGGCTTTACCATTCAATAAACACTATACTGGGTGGTTCACCTTGGTGTGTGTGTCCCTGGGGCCAGGCCTTGACCCACCCCTCCTGGAGGGCTGGTGTGTGTGTCCCTGGGGCCAGGCCTTGACCCACCCCTACTGGAGGGCTGGTGTGTGTGTCCCTGGGGCCAGGCCTTGACCCACCCCTCCTGGAGGGCTGGTGTGTGTGTCCCTGGGGCCAGGCCTTGACCCACCCCACCTGGAGGGCTGGTGTGTGTGTCCCTGGGGCCAGGCCTTGACCCACCCCTCCTGGAGGGCAGGTGTGTGTGTCCCTGGGGCCAGGCCTTGACCCACCCCACCTGGAGGGCTGGTGTGTGTGTCCCTGGGGCCAGGCCTTGACCCACCCCACCTGGAGGGCTGGTGTGCGTGTCCCTGGGGCCAGGCCTTGACCCACCCCACCTGGAGGGCTGGTGTGCGTGTCCCTGGGGCCAGGCCTTGACCCACCCCACCTGGAGGGCTGGTGTGTGTGTCCCTGGGGCCAGGCCTTGACCCACCCCTCCTGGAGGGCTGGTGTGTGTGTCCCTGGGGCCAGGCCTTGACCCACCCCACCTGGAGGGCTGGTGTGTGTATGTTTGAAATGAATAAGGCAGCCCTGGAGCACAGTTGGTATACACTAAGTATACCACAACAAACATCAAAGCCGCCGTGACAGCCTGATCCCGCCTCACACAATCAAAGATGTTCATCATACCTCTTCATTGTATCCAAGGTCTTGCATTCCACTTAATTATACGAACGTTCTCATCATACATCTTCATTTTACCCAAGATGTTTCGTACCAGTTCCTCATTCCCCATGGTCACTCTAATTCTTAGTCCTTGTTGCCAAGACAGTTCTCATACACTCCTGCATTATTACTAAAATAATTCATGCCTTTTCATTACACCTGAGGTGTGTCATATCACTGAGGCGCTGCCCTGGGGCACAACTTGGATCAACGTCCCCACGGCCCGGTCTCCGACCAGGCCTCCAGGCTGGTCGTCTGGTTTACTAAACTGTTTGACACAGCTGCTCGTAGTCTGACGTATGACTCCCAGCCGTCCTCTCGAACACTACATCTCATTTTGACCTATAAATTCTCTAAGACCAAAAACGGCTGGACTAAAAATCATAGCGGTTCGCAAAATTATCGTAATGTCCTGTTTTGTATCTGTGGGTCCTCGGTTAAGTTAGGTTGAGGTAATTTAGTACATCAGTTTAATGACGCTGTGAATGCACTTGAGGACGGAGTGAGGATTCACAGCCCGGTTGATCGGGCATCTGTTGTAAAAGTGCAACTATCGTAATGAGGTGGAGCTATAATTGTTCCGGATGGATGCTCGCTTGACTGTTATTGTTTGGTGACCGGCAGATCAGCTGTGTCGTGGAAGTATACAGGTTCGTAGAATTAGTACTCTCTTAATTTTGGGAGAGCTCCTGGTTCAACCTTGACGCCGGGCGGACGTCTGGACGCCTCCGCCTGGGAGCCGCCGGATCACGTTTTCTTTTGCGATATGGCTTTGCTACTGCCGTTTGGCGTCCCTATTCCACGGTCCGGTTGTACGACGCCCCGCGCACATATCGCCTTGGGTCACCGGATTGTTGATAGTTTATTTTTATACGTGTTCTGGCTGTTTCTCCCGGCGGGGTGACGGTGTTCGGGGGCCGTCTTGTCCGAGAGGTGCCGGGGGTTGGCGGGTCTTGGTGGGCTCCTGGTGTGCCCTCGGTGGTGGTGGGCGGCCGGCTTCTACTCTGCCGGGGGACACTGGATAACTTTTGTATTTTAGCTGGGGCCGAGTTCTTGGTTTTGCTCCCCAGTGTTCTCTGTGAGGGGCGGGGCCGGTGTTTGTCACCCTGGGGGACTCCTGGGGCTCCCCAGTGTTCTCTGTGAGGGGCGGGGCCGGTGCTTGTCACCCTGGGGGACTCCTGGGGCTCCCCAGTGTTCTCTGTGAGGGGCGGGGCCGGTGTTTGTCTCCCTGGGGGACTCCTGGGGCTCCCCAGTGTTCTCTGTGAGGGGCGGGGCCGGTGCTTGTCACCCTGGGGGACTCCTGGGGCTCCCCAGTGTTCTCTGTGAGGGGCGGGGCCGGTGCTTGTCACCCTGGGGGACTCCTGGGGCTCCCCAGTGTTCTCTGTGAGGGGCGGGGCCGGTGCTTGTCACTCTGGGGGACTCCTGGGGCTCCCCAGTGTTCTCTGTGTGGGGCGGGGCCGGTGCTTGTCACCCTGGGGACTCCTGGGGCTCCCCAGTGTTCTCTGTGAGGGGCGGGGCCGGTGCTTGTCACCCTGGGGGACTCCTGGGGCTCCCCAGTGTTCTCTGTGAGGGGCGGGGCCGGTGCTTGTCACCCTGGGGGACTCCTGGGGCTCCCCAGTGTTCTCTGTGAGGGGCGGGGCCGGTGCTTGTCACCCTGGGGGACTCCTGGGGCTCCCCAGTGTTCTCTGTGAGGGGCGGGGCCGGTGTTTGTCACCCTGGGGGACTCCTGGGGCTCCCCAGTGTTCTCTGTGAGGGGCGGGGCCGGTGCTTGTCACCCTGGGGGACTCCTGGGGCTCCCCAGTGTTCTCTGTGAGGGGCGGGGCCGGTGCTTGTCACCCTGGGGGACTCCTGGGGCTCCCCAGTGTTCTCTGTGAGGGGCGGGGCCGGTGTTTGTCACCCTGGGGGACTCCTGGGGCTCCCCAGTGTTCTCTGTGAGGGGCGGGGCCGGTGCTTGTCACCCTGGGGGACTCCTGGGGCTCCCCAGTGTTCTCTGTGAGGGGCGGGGCCGGTGCTTGTCACCCTGGGGGACTCCTGGGGCTCCCCAGTGTTCTCTGTGAGGGGCGGGACCGGTGCTTGTCACCCTGGGGGACTCCTGGGGCTCCCCAGTGTTCTCTGTGAGGGGCGGGGCCGGTGCTTGTCACCCTGAGGGACTCCTGGGGCTCCCCAGTGTTCTCTGTGAGGGGCGGGGCCGGTGCTTGTCACCCTGGGGGACTCCTGGGGCTCCCCAGTGTTCTCTGTGAGGGGCGGGGCTGGTGCTTGTTACCCTGGGGGACTCCTGGGGCTCCCCAGTGTTCTCTGTGAGGGGCGGGGCCGGTGCTTGTCACCCTGGGGGACTCCTGG